TTTATTGATAGAGTAAATATGTAATATTACATGATCAATATTAAGATATGAGATATATGGCTATACATATTGGTCTATTACTATTGTAGTAGATATATTTCCAAAAAACCTTGAGCAGACAAAAAAAGAAAAAAACTATCTACTAAAAAAAATAAAAAATAAAAAAACATTTGAGGCAAGATCACCATTTAGTAAAAGAAAAAAAGTAGAAAAGAAGAGATGTCAGAAAAATATTAAAACTTTTGTTAAATGTGGTTTCTGAACGCAAATAAATGTTTCAGTCAGATGACGATATTGTGCAAGTCACATATAACTCAATGAGTTTGATTAGGTGATTTTTGTGATATGTTGCTGTTATATAATGTGGCTGTATTGTAGTGTTAAAGTGGGGTAACTGGAATATATTCCAGATGTTTGTTGTTTTGTTGTGGTGAATTGTTATATACTGTAATTACTGGAACCTGTGCAGGGCACTGGTCACATGCTCTTTCAATTCAGTAAGTTGTTGTGTTGTTTTGATGTGATTTGATGATACAAAATGTCATTGGTGTTTTATGTGTTGCAAATCTTTTGATGGGGGTAAGTTGATTTCAGTTTTTTTGTATATGGAGGTAGACAAGGACTGACAACTAGCCAGAAGGTTATGCTAATTAACCTGGCACTAGTTATCATTAGCAAAAAACAAAAATTTTGAAAAAATATAATGTTGTCTCTTAAGAAAAAGATTGTGTTTGGTTTTGTGTGTGTTTTTTGTGATGTGATAAGTAGTAATGTGTGTGAATACAGTAAAAATGTTTTCCTTTGTTTAGGATTGCTTATATAGATTTCACTCAATAAAGCAAAAGGTTTAATCAAAGAGGTTTTTACAACTTCCAAAGCATCCACCCCTCTATGGAGAGTTAATCGACTCCTTGCATCTTGTAGAAAGCTAAGATAAACTCCTCTCTTAGGAAGAAATTCTCGCTCGCTGTTTACTGTCTACCATTCATGTCATTACCAAAAAAAGAAATTTTTTACGAATTAAAAAGTTGTGGGAAAGAGTTTTTTAAAAAATTGTAATAATTAAAGTTATCTTTTATAAATAATTCTATAAAACTGATTATAAATTATATACAGTAAATCTCAATTTAAAATTTTTTAAATTTGTCTAAGATTAACTTTTATTAAAAAATTTATTTTTAAAATTAAAAATTTGCTTAAAATTAAACTTTAAATTTTTATTAAATTAATAAAAAATAAATACTATTAATAGATAATATATAATTAAAACTAATATTATATAAATTTTTAGAAAAATATTTTAATTATTTAAAAAAATAAATAAAAAACAACTTTTTAGTTAAAAAATTTTAAATGTTATAAAAAAAATATCCTATAATTTAAGGGATAATTAATTAATTATAATTAATTATTTAATAATTATAAATTGATTATTAATAAATAATTTTCTAAAAAAAATTTTGATACTTGTCTTAAGATAGAACTATTCTATCTTTTTTGACTTAAGATAATACTAAAGAATTTAATTATTATTTTTTTCAAGTTTTATTTTGATAAAAAAAAGATAATTTATTAGAAATATAGATTTTTAAGTAGTAGAGTGCTTTATGTTAGAGTTTGGCTTGGATAAGTTTCTCTTTAATATAAAGAGTTTGATTATAAAATGTATTTTTTGAATTTAAATTAGTAATTAACTCAGTTTTTTTTTGGTATATTTGATGGAATTGGATTTAAAAAAGAAACAAAAGATATCTATTGTCTATATAATGATAATTTGTTTTAATAAAGATCAATTTATTTATTCAATAAAATAAAAGTTCAATCTTATTAATTTTTAAGTAAAATTGGAGGCTTTATATATATTGTATGTAGAAATTATAAAATATTCAATTTTAATCTGTATATATAATTATACATGTGATATAAATTATTTTCTGTTGACTCAATTCCTAAAATTTTCAAAAATAATTGCATTATAACAATACACAATGTCAATTTGGAGGTTTTGGGACAAAACGACCATATTGGTATTAGTGTGCTGGCATGTTGAGAAGGTCAAATTTGATAGCATTTTTTTTGGTTATATTTAAGTCTAACTGGGGGACGTGATTTTTGTTTTAGGCCACATTTTTGATTTATCTATAGGGCGAAATTTTTGTTTTAGATCACATTTTTGATATATTTTGGGTAGATTTTATCTTTATACTATCCTACTTGTTATTGAAATCTAATGAAATTAGGTTAAATTATATATTCATTTTATAGTCTTTATATTTCTTTTGCATAACAAATTGCATAGTAATTATTAAATCTAACAAAAAAAAAAGTCTAACCAAATTTTATATAACGGTGGGGTAATTAGGACAGAAAAATTGTATATCAAGAATCATTTCAAAAATCATTTTAACGTTAGAAATCCTTTTTAGCTACAGATTCTAGAACGTTAAAAATACATATTCGTTTTATGGTTTTTATATTACTTTTGCAAGCTAAAATGCATATCATTTCATTAAATCTAATAAAAAATTTAATATATCAATAGGATAATTAGAACAAAAAATATTATAGTGCTAGATATATATTAAATCTTTATAAAACATAATTTACATATACAAGATAATGAAAAATTTCAAAATCTAACCAAAAATTTAGTATATTAATAGAATAATTAGAACAGAAAAATCTAACAAAAAATTTTTTATATTAAATAATTATATATATCGAGAACTATTTCAAAAACCATTTTAAATAGATATTTCTTTTAACATTTATCTACCTCTTCTTCAAATCTTTCACAATTTTCTTCTTTAGCTATATTATAATAAAGTATATATAATTCTTCTAAACTAGTATATAGATCATCATCTACATATCTTTTACAATAATTTTTTAACCTTACAGTATATACTTCTTCATTAGAAAACATTTTTATTGCAACTGTTTTAATATAGTCATTTGGATTTTTTTCAGCCCACAATTTTTTTACAACATCTCCATAATTTTTAGCAAGATTATCATATTTTTTGCTTTTTCGCAAAGCAATCTTGATAACTTTAATTTGTACTATCTCTATATCAGTATGATTAGTTATTTTTATAAAGAAAATATAAATATTTAAATAATGAAAATATATCACTTCCAAAAATCTAACAAAATTTTATAACAAAAAATTATATATTAAGAACCAGAGAGAAAAAAGATATATATTATAGTGCCGAATTATATAAACAATTTTCACAATATTCTCCTTCTACTTTTATAGGATAAAAGCATTTCTTGCAAAGAGTAATATTAAGATTTGTAAGTGCATCTTCATAGACTTTTATTTTTTCCTCATAAGTGTTTCTCGTATAATAGATTGAACATTTGATTGAACATTTAATCGAAGTCTATCATAGTATTGGATAACATAATAATCTCTGATATGTAATGGACATCGGCCACTAGTAGAACCAATAGGTTTACCACAGTCAGTACAAGAGGACGTATTTTAGACTTTCAATGAAACTAGCAACCTTCAGGCCGAATGCAAGGTCTAGCACATATTTTTCCAGAATTATGTATATAGGAGCATAAATACTTACCGATCATTTTTGAATATTTGATATAAAATAATTATTTAAAGAAAAGAATTTTGTATAAGTAAAATATAGCACAAAAGTTAGAGCTAGTACTATAAAATGTCTGATGCTTATCCAGAATATATTGAGGAATTTAATATAGAGATAGCTGATTACAATCCAATTGAACCTACTGCTTATATGGCTTTACCAGAAACGATGTCAAAACGTAATAATGGTATTATAAATATTTAAAATAATAATGATTGGTGTTTTTGATGGTATGTTTTGGAAGTATTACATCCAGTTAAAGTTCATCCAAAAAGAAATCCAAATTGATTATATAGAGATTTTATAGAGGAACTTAATATGAATAACATTCAAATTCCAGTACCAGTTTCTATACCGGTTTATCAAAAATTTGAAAAAAATAATCCAGAAATCAGTTTATGTGTCTATTAATGGAACAACCAAAATAAATGTTTAGAATTTTATTATATAACAGAAAAAAGGGGTGATGAATATAAACAAGTAAATCTTTTGATAATAACAGAGGAGGATAGAAGCCATTACTACATAATCAAATATTTACACAAGCTAGTATATAATCATAGTAAACATAAAGAAAGGAAATACCTTTGCCAATATTGTCTTCATGTATATTCTGAAGAAAAAATATATAAAGAACATTTATCAAAATGCAAGGGACTAAATAATGCTCCTCAAATACTAAAAGTTTCTACATTGGAAAAAAGCATAAAAGCTTTTAGTAATCATAAATGTATACAACCAAATCCATATTGGATAATTTGGGATCTTGAATGCTTAACTGCAAAACTAACTCCAGAAGAAAATGCTCAATTAATTTGGACTGAAAAAATTCAAAGGCATAAACCTTGTGGTTATAGTTATGTAGTAATACGTATGGATAGTTTTGGTAATTATGAAATTACAAGCTATGATTTATATAAAGGACCAAATGTGTTAGAAAAGTTTGTAGATAAACTTGAAGAGGAGCTAGCAGAAATTCAAGCAGATTTATCATCACCTGTGGAAATAATTATGGAACCAGGAGACCATATAACATTTAATAAGGCAACAGAATGCTATATTTGTAAGAAGCCCTTTATTGAGCCAGCACCAGAAATTTTACAACAATTTGAAAAAGCAAAACAACAATTATTAAAATGTAAAGAATGGGAGGCACATATGAAAAAAGATTATTTCAAAATGAAAAATATATAAAAGAAATATTGACAAGCGTTAAGTAATCTTAACTGTAAAGTGAAAGATCATGATTATATAAGTGGAAAATATAGAGGACCAGCCCATGATGCATGTAATAAAAAATTACAAATGGGAGCATTTAAAACTAAAATACCACTTATTTGTCATAATTTTCGAGGCTATGACTCTTATTTGCTCATAGAGGTTGTAAGCAGATTTACAGCCAATAAGCTAAAATGTATTCCAGAAAATATAGATAAGTATAAAGCTATGGATGTTGGACAATTCCGATTTTTAGATAGTTTTCAACATATGTCAATGGGTCTTGATAAACTTGTTGAAAGTTTAGGCAAAAATCTTGAAAATTTCCTCTAATAGTAAAATACTTCACCAATAAAGGATATTCAATAGATAAAATCAAGTTAATAATATAACGAAAAAGTGTTTTTCCATATGACTGGACAAATACATGGAATAAATTCAATAGAACAAAGCTTCCACACAGAAAAGATTTCTATTCTATGCTCAAGCAGCAAAACATTGGTAAAGAAGATTATGAACATGCGCAAAAAGTATGGCAAGAATTCAAAATGATAAATTTTGAAGAGTATTATGACCTTTATCTCGAAACAGATGTATTTTTACTTGCAGATGTTTTTATGAACTATACTATTATGTGTTTACAGGATAATGAATTAGACCCCTTACATTATGTTTCAGCATCAGGAATGTTTAATAATTCATTATACAAAAGTAGCGAAGTTGAGATTAAGCTAATGACGGATATGGATGAGTATTTAATGGTGGAAAATGGGATTCAAGGGGAAATGACAATGGTAAGCCAGCGATATGCCAAAGCTAATAATGAAAAATGTCCTGATTATGATCCCAACAAACCAAAATCCTGAATCATGGATGAAGATATGAATGCTTTATATTCAGGTGCAATGACACAATACATGCCTACAGAGATTTTAGGAAAGATAGGTCCAGAAGAAATACCCGAGATACAAAGTATAGCACTTGATGTTAAAATAGGATATATGCTCAAAGTTGATATAGAGACCCCAATAAACTTGCACAATTTCTTTACAGATTATCCTTTAGTACCGAAAAAGCAAATCGTACCAGAAAACTGGCTTAGTTTATATAATGAAAGATTAGTACATAACAAAGCAGTTGGAGGTGGAAAATATGTAATGGAAGAAAAGCTATTACAAACCCTCTTACTTAAGAAAAATTATATAGTTCATTATAGAGCTTTATAGATATATATGAAATTCAGAATGAAAGTTACAAAAATTCATAGTGCTTTAAAGTTTTGTCAATCTCCATGGATGAAAGACTATATTGAGGAAAATATTCGTAAAAGAAAAATTGCCAAAGCTAATAAAGAGGATTTTGGAGTAATATATTATAAACTTAAGAATAATACAGTATTCGGGAAACAAATGGAAAATGTTCGTAAACATATAAGAGTAGAATTACTTAGATCTGATTAAGATAAAAAACTAACTCATCTTGTTAGATCTCCATTATATGTAGGTTTTAAAGCATATGAAGGGGGATTACAGCAGTTCATATGTTAAAAGGTACAGTAACTCTTAGCAAACCATTATTTGTGAAGCAAGCAATTCTTGATATTAGTAAAGCTATGATGTATAACTTTTGGTATAGTTATATAAAACCTCGCTATGGTTCTTGCAAACAAACTGCTTCTTCTATAAACCCTCACGCAAAGCACCTCCATCTCATTATTCAACAATTACTCTAATAAATCTACACTTCAACCCTCAACCTTCTCTGTATACCTTAACTAATCACTCTGGCTTA